CTCTCTCTCTCTCAAAAATTAAAAAAACACCTAATCCTCCCAAACACCAGGGTCGGCCCTGAGGGTAGTCAAAATAGGCACCCGCCTAGGGCCCCTACTTTGGAGGGGCCTCCAATTTTTTTTATACCTTGCAATTAACATATAAATACAAAAAAAGGAAAAAAAAATATCATAATTCATTTGTTGGTGTAGCGGAAATGTTCGGCTTCCTTTTTTTTTTGGGGTGTTGAGTTCGAAACATGGAGCTGCCTTTTCAGTCACTAGTTTTTTTTTTTGTTTTTCAAATTTACTCCCAATCCATTTATCCAACTCCCAATTTACTCAAGTGCCCTTACAATCTTTTTTTCTTTCAACTTTCCATGCTTTCCATTTCTATCGAATGTTTAAATCAAGTATCAAATGGTCTTGAAAATTGTACTTTAAGGTAATCAAAACTATGAATTTATATGTTGCTTTTCAATAATTTTTTATTCAATGGATTATTTTAATATTTGATTCATTAGTGTGATGTTGATTTTAGGAAAAAAAAAAAAAACAAGGGTAAATTACATTTTACCCCCTCAGGTTTGGAATCGATTTCAATTCCTTACAACATCTTTAAAACATTTCAATTTCATACGTTTACTTATCATCTTATTTCAATTTCATACATCCGTTAGAAAATCTGTTAAGTAAACCATTAAGTGATGATGTGGCAAATACGGAGTCTCATTTGTGCTGACATGGCTGCCACATTTGTGCCACGTGGCTAAACGCTTAATAAAAATTTAAAAATGTAAAATAATTAATTTAAAAAAAAAAAAAAAAAAAAAAACCCAAAACCGAATTCGTCTTCCCTACCCCTTCTCTCCACCCGAGCACATCCCCAACCTAGAATCCCCATCACGCTCCTAACCGCCGGCGCCTTCCTCCTTACACTCACACTCCTCACCACCCTCACCGAAGCGCACAACATCACACGCCGACCCTCCTCCACTCTCTTCACTCACTCTCTCAAACCCCAAACCCCCCAAAATCCCTAGATCCAAAACCCAAAATTCCCAGGTCTCGACCTTCAACCACAACATCACCCTCACCCACCTTGTTGCCGACATCATGACCGTACTACCATCACCGTCTGCGTCGTCGACAACTGGGGAATGTCAACCCTTCTCTCCAAGCACCGATGAAGAGGAGAAAGGGTTCGGGGAAAGTAGGGGTGGGATGGGGGGTTGCGGGGGATGTGGGGGTGGGGTGGGTTTTTGGATGGGAAGGGAGGTGAAGAGAGTGGAGGAGAGGGAGGTCGAGAGGGAGAAAAAGGGTGGGGAGGGGTTGCGGGGGAGGCGGGGTTGGGTTCTGCGTTTTTCAGTTTTTTTTTTTTTTTTTTTTTTTTTTTTTTTTTTTTTTTTTTTTTTTTTTTTTTTTTTTTTTAAGATTCAAGTTTTTTTTATTAAAAATTTATTTTTTTGCCATATGGCACAAATTTGACAGCCACATGGCACAAATGTGGCAGCTACGTCAGCTCTTAACGGATCAATAGATGGAAAATGTAACGGATGTATTACATTGTAATAAAATAGTACTTGAGGTATGAAATTGAAATGTTTTAAAGATGTTGTAAGAAATTGAAATCGGCCCAAAACTTGAGGTGGTAAAGTGTAATTTACCCAAAAAACAAAGAGAAACAATTGGCGTTGTTGAAGTTATTATACTCGTCAATCAAGTTTTATTGTTCTTTACTCTCTTGATCATCAAGTTTTATTGTTCTTCATTCTCAATTTTAGACTCTTAATTGCAAACATTTAGTATATTTGCGTCTAAAAACATGAGACGTGTAATATTTGTATATTTATCTTCTTTTGATATTAATTTTGATGATATTTGATCTGGAAATATAATTTTTTATGTATTTAGTGAATTCCTTTTATACATATCAATGCATAAAGAACCGGAAATCATAAAACATTAGGACCCCAATTCGAAGGTTCGCGTAGGCCCCAAATTCTTAGGGCCAGGCCTGCCAAACACTGATGAAAACAACCATGTTGGGAGTTGAAGACGCGGCATCGGTGATCAACTCCTCTGCCGCCGTCGTTTTTGAACAAAATCTGCGATATGGTGGATGACCCCGCCACCGACGCTTTCGTCTCCGTCCTGGAGCATCGGCAACAACAGCTTCGATGTCTGGAACGTCCCCGAGTCCTTGAGGGACCTCCTGCCCAAGTATTTCAAGCACTACAATTTCTATAGCTTCGTCAGGCAGTTGAATACTTATGTGGGTATTTCTTCCCTTTCCTAAATTTGTTATTCCTTCGTGCTTTTTCTGCATTTGATTGTTGTTTTCGCGGTGATTCCGATCGGAACTGTGAAATTCGGAGTGGTTACTCAGGATCAATGTTCAATTAGGCTTTGCAATTGTTATTTTGGCGAAAGGGTTATCGAATTGGAGGTTGTAAATAAGTAAATTGTGAAGATAAATGATGGATGTTTGGATTTATATCACCTGATTCACATGATGTATGTCCTTTAGGTCTAGGCGATCACTATGTCATGTAAAAATGATTTGAATTTGTGTTGTTTGTTCCTAACCAAGTGAAAACCGGGAAGGAAAAAGAACATTAAAGGTCAGAACTACATTGAGATTTAAAGTTTGAGCCGACTACTTTTGTGCAAATTGCCTTGTTTGACGTGCTTCTGGATAAATTTGTTCGATTGCATTGCATTGCTCTGAAAAGAAAAATCGAATTCCTCTATTTGATGTCAATTCATCTACACTATGTAGCAATTGGACATGAACACTCAACTGTGGCACAATTGGTTTAAATTCTTTCAGAAGCGAATGCGTTGGAATATATTCCATTCTTGTAGCAGCCACCGCTTCAAATCCAGCTCCTCTACAATTTCTGGGCCCATATTCTGGTTGTGCATAAGCCCCTTTAGAGATAGGGGCGAGCAGGAAGCGTCTCTTTGTATAAGGTTACGAACATATTGTAGTAATAATAAGAAAATGGCAAGCAAAACCTACTCCTAACAAGTTGCTGGCTTTTCAGCAGTGCAAATAGTGCTTTATGCTGTGAGGGAAGATGTTTTACATTGATGAAGATATTTTCTGAAACTGATTGGTAGATGTTTTCTGAAAAAATTTCAGTTGAAATGCCAATTGCAGTGACTGGCATTGCCATATCAGCAAGGTGTATAGATTATTCAATGTGCCCATCATACTTACCACAAGGATATTCATTACTCTGGCATCTGTATACTTTGATTTTATTTCTTCCCTCGATCAAATCTTCACCCTCCAAGCTTGATGAAACATTAGGTGAAATCAGTCCAAGTCCAGAGAAACCACTCAGATCCTAGGTCGTGCATTCTAACACTTTGATCATCATAACTGTCTTTGAACCAAGGAATGAAATGCATTTCGTGCCTCTTCCAAAGTATCGACATTTTTAACCAACTATAAACCTATAATATATTTCAACTAAGCTCCTCATCCAATTGATTGCAACTCCACTCTAGACTTAAGTATGCTGTCTCTGTCAATCCTTTTCTGTCAAGACTGGGATGAACATCAAATGCATTTATAATGTTCCCGGTAAGTTGGTTCCCATCAAACCGGATTCTAGACAATGCCCAACAATTCCTCAAGCACTCGGAAATACCCTATTAGACTCTGCTTCGTTTGTTGTCATCTGTGAGGATGGTTTTTTATTGTTTGCGTGATGTTTTGCAGGATTCATAGATAATAGATTTGGTATGGGCTGCCATGCGTGTAACTGTGTAAGACAACTCTCTTCATTTCATTTAAAATGATCTACAAGGACATCGATTATTAGTGTTGATAGTTGTCGTAGAGCCGAAGAAATCTCTGTTTTTTCCATGGCTGCTGAGGGTATTTTTCTCCACATATTTTTTTGTCTTTCTTTTGTTTATCTGCAGCTTTTATGTTGAATTGTTGCTCTTTAAATTGTTTTGATGATAACTAATTGCTCAAATTGTTCAAATTTTGTAATTCAGCGACCTTTTATATGCATTTTTGGTTTGGTTCTTATTTGAAACGAACCAAATTGAACATTTATAATCAAAATAATTGATTTTTCTAGTTGTTCAAATTTGGTATTTCAATGAGCTTTTACGTGCATGTCTGGTTTGGTACTTATTTTAACATATATGACATTCCTGTGGTAATGCGCGGGCTAACACTATTCCTCTCTAAATTCTTGTTAGGAGCTCAGTGGAGATGCTCTTAAGAAGATAATGGGAAATTATATTTTTCAAGTATCACAAGAAGCAAAATACAAGGTTAAAAAAAGGAGGCAAAACATGGGAAGAGATAAAATGAGTATTTCATTAAGTGTAGTAGAGAGTTTGAAAAAAATATGGAAGCTGAGGTTCGTTCCACAACTAATTCAAAGATAAAGAGGCCCAAAATCATTTGAACCAATTTAAGTTTGCATTTTATGAATGGAATATACGCACATACACACATCAAGAAAATGAACAATCCAGTTAAAAGATGAGGATTCGATTGATTCGATTTTAGTAGATGAGCTCAAATAAGAAGCACTCTCTAGTATAAAGCGGTTTCAGTAGACATGCACACAAGCACCACTTCAAATGCGTCAATGTTTTGTAGAAATAACACAAGCATTATTTCCCAAACACCAAACCCGAAAATGCAGCGAACAGAGCTCCAAATACGAATCACACTTATGACGAAGCACACAAATCAATACAAGTAAAACATGACATGGAATATGCATCAGTGCCTTCCCAAACTGCATTGAGGCCGCAGCTTGCAGGCTTATATCAAACAAGATGAGATCGGCCGGGGAACCAAGGCTGGGCACAGACCATTGAAGGGAGAACAGATATAGTTACAGCAAGTGACAAGAAAAATTAGAAATAAGTATACTGAAAGTAGCAACCACAATAATGCCAAAGAACAATGTCCCTGATCTAGTCACCACAACCACCCCAAAGGCAAAAAGGTCCAAAACAATCATACACAAACATAATATAACCAAGGCTTGAAATTGACCTCATTGCCAACAGAAATATCACAACCAAGGCTCTCCCTTGAGGTGAAAGCTTGCAATAGATCAGAGTGCCTTCCAGTCTACTCTCCAGGCTGATATTTCTTCCTTTAAAAGGAAAAGCAAAAGGAAGAGGAAAATAACACACAAACACGCAATAGCACACAATCGGAAAACCTTAACACGCCAGGCAAAAGGAACATTTAAATCTGCAATCATCAGCTGCTCCTGTAGAAATACAAATTTAGTTGACGATTACAAATAAACACAAACTGTTCAATATGAAATCTGACCGAACAACTATGAATAAGATGAATAAATCAGATTTTTTAATTTGATGGTTCAAGGTTCAGAAAAAGCTGAAAAATTGGAGGGTGAAATTATTAGATTCTTAGTTAGTGAATAAAGTACTTACAGTTTGATCAGGATCACTCTCCTTTCAATCACTTAGCATCGATACATCATCAGTTTCCTCTGCTATTTGTAGTCTTTCTGGTTTTGGATCACTTCGGAGTAACCCATCAGGAGAAATCTTTAACTCGATCAGCTGGCAATTCTTGACAATCAAAGTTTCTAAGGATGGGACTTTGAAAATGCAATTTCCCGTGCAAAACCCTTGCAGACTTGGTAGATCAGAAAGTTCAAGATGTTGCAAGTAACTGAAAGTGATCTCAATTTCTGAATCCACTCCGTTGCTTGCCACTATTTCTACCATTCTTTCACAGTACCCAACATCCAACACATGGAGTTGCGGCAGATTCTTAGCCACAGAATAAGGTATTAAGTATTGCAGTTCGTGACAACTCCGTATGTGCAAAATTGTTAGATTCCGAAAGGATATCAATGATGAAGTTAGATTCTCTAATCTGCCACATTTTTCTAGGCGTAGAAATTCCAAGTTTGGAAAAAAAGGGCCCCCTAGTTGGGAGTTTTCCATTCCTAGATGTATCAGCTCCGGCATATCGATGAGCCACAAAACCTTTACACGTGAGAGGGTCTCAACTTCATGTAATTCTTTCCAAGGAGCTGAGAGCACATGGAGCAGTTCAGTATTCTGTAAATTCTCAAAGAAAACATCTGACTTGGGATGTGAAGTAGCAAAAACAATTCCTTTTAGTTTTCTCAACAACTCTGCCGGGAGTGGACCATACGGTTCATACCAAATCTCCGTGTTCTCGTCCAATAGCAAGTGTTCCAAGTTAAGGAATGACTTACCCTGAAATATAATCAACGGTAACAGCACCCTTTAAAATATTTTGAAAACTAGACACCACATAATAACTTTAATATTAAAAACATAATAAATGTATTTACTTGATGATGTATGTTTAACTAGTAAGTAAAAGTCACATAACATTTCAAATATCAAAAGATTTGTGTACAAGTATAGTTACCTTCTCAATTAAAAAGAAAGGTTGTTCCATTGGTCTTGGGTGGCCCAACTCAAATTTGTCTTGATATGTTGAAAACTCAGCAGCAAAAATCTTCACACCACCACATTTCGTGAACCTTAAAAGGTTAAGTGATGGCCAATTAGAAACATGCAGTCCTGGATAGAAACTCCGAAGTCGGGGTAGATTATCAAATTCGATAGATGTTACTTTAGGGAATCCGAACTCCTCATATGCCATTTGTGGTCCTTCTTCCCTCGCAACAATTTCCTCCATTAAACTACAATTCTCAACCTCCAACTTGCTTAGCTGCTTAAGATCTTTTGCCACTGAGGCAGGAAAGACATTTTTCAAACTATCACACGAGTCTATCTCAACTGAGTTTAGATTTGGGCATCTAAAATCATTCAACTGAGTGGTAGATGATGTTTCATATACCATTTGTAGTGCTTGACATTTGGATATCTTGATATGTTTGAGTTGCCTGAGACATTTAACCATGGAACTCGAAAACAAGAATCTTAAGCTATCACATTGATGCACAGTCAAGGTTGTTAAGTTGGGCATCAAAACCTGCATAGTACAGAACAAAAATCATGTTTAGGTTAGGAATTTATAGTTTAAATGGTTGTAGCCTTATATGTTCCAAATATGTAGACATAAAATAAAGGTCACGTATTAAAAAGTAAGCTACTAGGCTACTAGACAGTTGTAAGTCTTTCTACTTTCATTAATTAGCAATGAACAAATTGGAGTAATAAAACTATCTGAAAAAGAAATATAAAGCCAAAATTGTGTCAATTTAATTCCAAATTTAATCCATTTTACTTAAATTGATACCAAAAACACATTATTGTGAACCTTTGGTGGCTAGTAGTGGACTCTACTGTGATTAGGGCCTGAGTTTAAATTTTTTGCACTTAAAAATAAATGTGGTTTCTCTAGGACATTTGACATCTGTCCACAAACTTAATCGTAACATAACTTTGTCAACTCCAAAAAATTAAATAAAAATAAAAACAAGAGTAAGAAAAAAGACGCCGGTCATCCTCCTCTCTCTCTCTCACTTCCCCAAACACAACAGCAGCAATATCAATTGCATCTCCTTCACACTTTAAATCCATAAATTAAACCCAAAAGCCTCGCCCTTCAATTTAATGCTCCTTCAAAGAATAGGGGACGATGACCGTGACCGTGAAGCCCACCGAGACGCAGATTCCGAGAATCTACTTCACCGTTCCCGCGAGCTCCTTCGGCCATGGATCTGTTCCTCATAACCTTGGCGATGTCGATGACGATGTCATCAAGGGAGATGCTGCAGCTGTGCTTGAAGAGGTGGTGGTACGTGAGGGAGGGGGCGGTGATTGGTGGCGTTGGGAAGGAAGGAGAATGGGAGAGGTAGCCAGTACGCTGGGCTACGCTCTGATATTTTTTTTTCTTTATTTTATTTGGAGTTAACTCCGTTAGATTTGGATGAGTGAATGGATATAGATATCAAAATTTTTAAAAAGTTAGAACGGCATATACATAAATGTGTGCAGAAGATTTGAACTTGTTAGGGAAATACCTAGGAAAAAAATTCTTAATACCAAAAACGTAACAACATAATATATCATTTAATTGGTTTTTGCTTATTGGAAAAAATAAATCTTAAGCATTTATATCTTATTTCTTATTGAAAGAAAAAAAAAGAATTATATGTCGAAATTCGAAGAAGAAAGCTATTTGGAGAAAGAATCATGCAACCATTTTGCTAGAAAAAATAACTAAGAAAGTACCTCCCCGTTATTGAACAGTCTCGATGGTCCACCAACTTCATCCACCGTAACGATTTCGTCGGCTTCTGTAGCAATCGTTAATTGCTTGCCTTTGGAAGAGAAACCAATAAGCTTTGGTAGATTCCGGAGTCTCAAAGATTTTAACTTTGGGAAAGGCTCGCCTATGAGTTGCCCATAACATACACTTTCCAGACTCACAAGGTCTTCAAGAGCTAGAGATTCCAGGTTGGAGAAGGCATTATGAGAATAACTCCAACTGACGGAGTTAATGACATATTTAACTTTGTCGTTGTTTTGGACATGGAAATGCTTCAGTTGATTAACAGCTTCACTGTCAAATAGATAGGAAATAATATTCACAATCTTCATCCCATCCAAGTACAATTGCTCACATTTCTTTACCAACAACTTTATACCTCGGTCGAACTGATTTCTCCTTGTAAGCTTGAGTTTTAGCATGTTAGAGGAGGTTGGATGGATGTCAGGATATGCCCAACAATCACCGATAAGTATGGTGTATCTTTCTAACTTATCGGAGAACAAGTTGGCTGGAAGAAGGTTAGCATCTGGAACATGTATGTCTAATGCAGTTAGTTCAACCAAGTGCTTCAGCTCTGAAACAGTAGCATTACTTCCTCCACTAGTGGGACCATCACCCTCCCATTGCTTGAAGCTTTTTATTCCCATCCTCAACTCTTCTAGTCTTGTCAAGCTTGATATAACATCAGGTGAGATCAGAACAAGTTCAGAGCAACATGTCAAATCCAATAATTGTAGCTTAGTCAATTGCCCTATTTCTTTGGGCAACTCTTTAACCTTGGAGTATATCAGGCTAAGAATTTTCAAGTTTGTTAGCCGTCCAACAAGAGTTATGTCTTCCAACTCACATTGATCTAAACACAATGTCTGGAGATGCTTTAGGGATTGAAGAGATGGAGGTAATGACTCAATACTGAATGCAGTTACATCCAACCCTTTGAGTTCTTTCATCCCTTCAAAAAATTTGCTTGGGATTTCCTGGGAGTTGCCAATATCATCATTCACAAAGACCAACAATTTTAATTCTGGGCATTCCCAAGGTACTTCAGGAAGCCTGGGGATCTTGCAAAACCTCAAGGAGATGGCAGTGTAACTTTTAAATAAATCCTCACTTGGCCATTCTTTCACCTCATCTCCATATGCTCTTGAAAAGAACCTTTGATCATCAGATGCAATCCGGACAGCAACATCTCGTACAAGCTCATGCATTGTAATAGAGTCATCATCATAACTGTCCAGCAATAGGCAATAATTTTTTAGTTTTTTAACCATTCTATTCAATGAATTCCGTGCATCTTCCATTGTCTCAACATTTTTTATCAAACCCAAACCCATACAATACTTTAACAAGTCACTTAGATAATTGCTGCAACTCCCGCAAAGCAAGAACAACTGCTTAAGCTCTTGATCCTCCAATTGTTCGTAACTCCACTTTAGAGCCAAGAATGCTTTTTCATTCATTTCTTTCTTGTCAAATCTTTTGAAACTTCTCAACGCATCTTTCCATTCCTCCAAACTACTTTCCCTTAAAGCACTTGCAACTGCAACAACCAAAACCGGCAAACCTCCACATTTCTTTGCTAGCTGGGTTGCTTCTTTCAGTATACGGTTGTCTTTAACGACATTACCCGCCATCTTCTCAAACAAACTCCAACTTTCGTTTTCTTTTAAAAATCCAATTTCAAAATTTTTTTGTGTACGCATATCATGGAATAAAACTTGTCTATCTCTAGATGTCAACAATAACTTACAGTTCGGCACACCGACGAGTCCCACGGCCTCAAAGTCAATTCTTTCCAAAACATCGTCTAAAATGACAAGAGCCTTCCCCTCTTTTATCCTGGCCCGTAGGAGATTCGCCCTTGTTCCCATATCCACAGATTCATCAACATCCATCCTCAACTTTTTGGTAATTGCTTTTTGAATTGTTTCATTGTCTTTTTTTTCTTTTACGTTTAGAATTATAACCACATCATCAAATAACTTCTCTTCCATAGCTTCTCTGTAAACCTCTTTGGCAAGTGTTGTCTTCCCAACGCCCCCTAATCCGTACACACCAATCTTGTTGATATCAGGTTTTTTCAATTGCGTAATGATATCCTTCACCATTGAAGTCCTTGATTCAAAGGCCATGTACTCGTCGGAGGCTATGGCAGATATGTCTTCCACAGCAGCATTGTAAGAGATACTGGCAAACTCTTTTTTATTTTCATGTTCTTCAATCTTTCTGACCAATTTAGTTGATTTTCTGCTGAGCTGATGATAGGATATCAGGTTAGGACATACATAGAGACACTTTGTCTTTGCAAAGCCTTCATCATCCAATAATGCTTCTGCCTCTCGAGAGATCACATCCGCTTCTGTCTGCCAGTTCCGGACATCAGCTTCCACTTTTTGATTAACTTTTCCTTCGACTTCTTCAACCGCATGGTTCATCCTTTGTTTGACAGCATCAAAATTCTTCAATGTACTCCTTAGATCTTTAAGGTTGCTTTTGTAGAAAATGACATAACTCACTTGGCGTCCAAGTGGCCTAATTGTGTAGTTAATTATTGTAGGAATAATTGCGGCGATTATCCTTATCGCCATGGCACCTTCAGCTTACCAATTCGTCTGCTTCTTCTATCTGTTGAATATATATGAATCCAAACAAAAATTTAAGGATACGAGAAATGAATCATTTTTTTTTTCTTTCAAAGCAGATGAAATTAAAAAAATGAAACAAATGAAACAATGGGTCATACCTTAGCTCGTGATCGAAGAAAAACATAGCAGTATACAAATGAAACAAAAATAAAAGCAAAAAGAAGGTTATACCACACTTGCAAGAAGTCGATATGATGGACAAGTTTTCATATACAATTATTATACTAAAATAAACTTGCTTGGTACGGAACTTAAGCAACTGTTTTCAAATCTTAAAAACAAAGAAAACATATATAATTTGCTTTGAATTTCACTGAGACATTTTAACAAACAACATATCTGCACGCTTAAAGCCGGTGCATGAGCACTCTGCTAAGGCTCGTTGAACACTGTACCACATAGCTACTGAGCTAGATGGTACGATGGAGTTGACCCCCGATTCTCGCGAGCTGACTGAGTCAATACACTCTGCTAAGGCTCGTTGAACACTGTACCACATAGCTACTGAGCTAGATGGTACGATGGAGTTGACCCCGGATTCTCGCGAGCTGATTGAGTCAACTCTGCTAAGGCTCGACAAGTTCCAGAGGCTCATGACGACCTCTAGTTTACGAAATAAATCTGAGGCCATCAACCGCGAAATCAGGATCAGAGATGGAAAGGTCGAGCAGAGCAAGGAGGCTGCCAAGCGTTTGAGTTTGTTCATCTTGAAGAGAATTCAATTTTTTTACTTAAAAGTATGATAATGGCAGCCATGATGATTGGTCCTAGACGAAGGAAGATGGAGGAAAAACAAGGTGAAAAAGTTGCGAGGAGGAAGAAAAGAGGAGTTATTGGCGTCTGAGTTTGTGTGTTTAAAAGAATTTTTGTAATACTTTGGGAAGTGTTATTGGCACTCTAAAAATCTTATTCTACATTACTCACAAGTATATTTTTCTTTCCCAATATAGAAAATTTGGGGTGTAGAATGAGATTTTTGGAGTACTAATAACAATTCCCTTTTGCATTTTTATGTTTAGATAATGTATATGTTAGTTGAATTTTATAATGATCTTTTTTTGAAAAAAAATATTGAAACGCGTATTGTATTCAGATACATATAGATAAGGGTAATGTTAGGGAGATCAAATTTGCAAATCGAATGATGTGTCACAAATAGAAAATTAGCACGTTAATCAACGCTTGAGTTATATTCCAATTATCACATCCACATCATTTGGTTTACAATTTCTTTTCTTTTTTTTAAATTTGGTCTCCCAAGTATTACGCTATAGATAATGTCAAAAGCCAATAATTTTGTGTTTGATAGTAATATCTTTGTAATGTATAAGAATAATGGCAGTGCTGGTGAGATGGTGATTATGGCAAAAGTTGTGCTAGAAGCAATGGTGGTTAGGTTGGTTGTAGTAGTGATGGGGACACACCCATTGGATGGTGACAATAGTTGAGTGGGAAAAGGGTAATGGTAGACTGGTAGTAGGAATGATGGTGATGGTAGTCGCGGCAGAAGGTTGTTGTGGTAACAATGCTAGAGAGGAACAGTATCAACAACATTGATTGAGAGGTTGCGATGGTAATGATGACAAAGATGGTAGAGGTTGTGGTGGCAATGGTGGTAGTAGTGATAATGACATCAACTGTGAAATCCCGGCCCCGAATTTCACTATTTAAAATTACGTATTTTGTATTCTTAGTTTTGACGCCTTTATATTTGTGGCGTATAATTTTTTTTAATAAGTAAAAGGATGAAAACGCCCTTAATGAATTAAATGGATTTTTTGAGGACGTATTTAATTCCTATATCTTTTGTCACTTTATTTATATTTGGATAGTACTCGTTGATACGAACGCGTGGGCGCAAACGAAATGTAATTTGGAGTTATAACAAAAGAGTTATAAACGAACAAAGTTAAGGGCAAAATTGTCATTTGATCATAAATTTGGAAGACTCCATATTTGTTGCACTAATTTTTGGTGTCATATGTGTGGCGATGATGGGAAGAAAATGAGAGAAAGGAGAGAAATGAGAGGGAAACAGGGCAATCAGGATGAGAAAAAATGAGGGAAATGAAGGAAGAGAGAAGAATGGAACCTCGACCCCACTATCCGACCGGCGACCCGACCCAACTTCCAACATGCAATCCGATGCCTTCTCATATCATTTTCAGGTGAATTGTGATGGGGCAACAGTTGAGAACGCATCATTGATCTCTTCGCTTCCATTTTCACCTAGAAATTGAAAGAATTGGGCCTCGGTTTCCTCTAGAACACGCCGACTAGCTCTGTGGGTGCATGACGGCGATCTGCTTTTCCTACATGAATCACCATAGAAAACCACCAACAATCAACTCCTTTTAGGCCTAGGAACAAACCCCAAACAAGTTTGGGGGCGGTGGAGCACCGAAGAAGATGAATCAAAGTGTACACATTTCAAGGGTTTCCGGCGGATCGAGGCGATTTCAGGTGTTTCCGGACCGAATTGGAATTTGGCCCAAGTATGAAAGTTCTTCCCCTTGATGAGTTCTACATTTTTGTAAAATTTGGTAACTTTTAGAGTTAGTCGGAAAATTGGGTTTCCGTTTGCTGGAAACCGCCACCTGCGGTGGCGCATGGCCCATGGACCGATGATTTTTTTAAGCTAAATTAGATGTCCTGATTTCATATTTGATATCCCCTTGATGTGATTTGATTGTTTGAACCCATTTTCATTATGGTACACCACTTGATCATTATATGAATCGATGATCCGACCGTTGGATTGTCACCAAACTTTAATGTGACAATCCAAACTTTAATGTGTTATAGTACGTAATATTTGAGGACTGTTGGAACTTACGGATCGGGCATATGACATACGGATTTTCTGGAATTGAACTTCTAAATTTGTAAAACTAATTAGTGACGCCACCTAATTTTAGTGATTGGCAAAGATCCGACCGTTGGATCGTTCTGAAATTTTAGGATATTGTTCTAGAAGATTAATGAGACTCTTGGAAGTTACGGATCGATGATTCATGGGTGGATATTCCGGATCGAATTACGTAGGGTTGTAGACCCCACCGCTGATTGAGAGTTGACTTTTGGTCAACATGTCTTGAACCGTTTGAAATACTAAAATTATATTACTAGAGACTTAGTGAGGCTTTGTGGGCTTATCTCAGTGAGTGACTTTAATATATATGTGATATATTTATTACCCTGAAAACCTCTCATGCTAGTATACTTTGTGGATACAACATGGATTTTTAAATTATGTTTTATGTTAAATAATTATTTTTATAAAGTTTGCCATCGATCTACTTTATGAAATGTTATGTGACTTGCCTATTTGAAATGTTTGTTAAACATGAGGGCTAGTAGAGGACCATTACCTTAGTGTTAAGGGGTTAGGTGACACCGTGTCCATACCATGTAGCAGTGGTACATGGATGGTTTTGCTTGGTTAATCTGCGATACGGGACCATACTATTTATGGATCATGCTTAGTTAATATGCGATGGGCGATCCTTATGGCCATACATACTTAGGGGTGATCATGTTTGGTTAATCTGCGATGGGTGATTACTGCCTAACAGTTTTATAGGTGTGACTATGTTTGCTTAATCTGAGATGGAGGGTCACTACCTACTAGGTCATCTTCTCAAAGGTGGTCATGCTTGGTTAATCTGTGATAGGGGACCGTATAATTGTGCTTGGTTAATCCGTGATGGATGATCCTTATGGTTATACGTACTTAGGGGTGATCATGCTTCATTAATCCGTAATGGGTGATCACTGCTTAACAGTTTCGTAGTTATGACTCTACTTCGTTAATCCATGATGGGGGTCACTACCTACTTGGTTATCTTCTCAAATGTGGTCATGCTTGGTTAATCTGTGATAGGGAACCATACAATTATGCTTGGTTAATCCGTGATGGGCGATCCTTATGGCCATACATACTTAAGGGTGATCATGCTTGGTTAATTAGCAATGGGTGATCACTGCCTAATGGTTCCGTAGGTGTGACTCTGCTTGGTTAATCCATGATGGGGGTCACTACCTACTTGGTTACCTTCTCAGGGGTGGCTCCGCTCAGTTAATCTGCTATGGGGGGCCACTTCCTATTTGGCTACTTATGTAGGCTTCGATCGAACTGCGTCCCTCTAACCCTAGTTTTTAATGTATTTATGAACGATAACTTTTGAGAATTTTTGTGGTTTGAATTAGAAAAGCCGTTGGATGTTTGGGTGACTCATTCGTAGTTTTTAATGACTTGGCTATGATTTCATAAGTATGAATTTATATTTGAGGTTTATAAACTATCATCGATGGTTTTTTATTTTTATTTTTATTTATTTATTTATTTTTATTATTGATTATCACATAGGTTGTATTATTGTCACTCACACGAGTTTCGCAGCTTATCTGGGTTCTTGTTTGCCTGGTGCACCATTCTCATGGTGTAGGCACTGATTGTACAGGTGGTAGGTCTGAAAAGATTACAAGAAGTTGCTTGGTATTTTGGTTTCGTTGAGTGGTCTAGAACTTGATAGTGTTGGATTTTGATGCATTATATGTGTTATTGATTGATGTGACTGTAGAATGGTGTTGGAAAACATATATGGGTGAATGGCATACCTGTGTGTGTGGCAATATGACAATTGTTGTTTGGATTATGGTTGATGTGTAGTGTGGTACTTTATGTTTTATGAAAAGTTCAGAGTTTGACAAAGGTGAACTACGAATGGCTCGATCCCTATTTGGGGTACATAGGCAGTTTAACGAGGAGGTTAGATGCAACCATAAAGTATACAAAATTTACTACGCAATCCGAATCTTGAGTAGTGCTTTGTCCATATCCTGGAGGCAGGGTATGTTAGATATAAGGGTACTTGGTGACGTCACGTGTCGATCCTGGAAGTATGTCGGGATCAGGGCGTGACAGCAACGATAGTGATTGA